GAGGCTTATCCAGGTTCTCATTAAGAGAAATGCAAATAAAAAATATTCTGTTGATTACATATTTGCTTACTACTACTACTTCTACTGGCAAAACCAGTATCCATAAATATGCTTCCTGGTTAAATAAGTCTGTGACGTGGGGGTATAGCTCAGCGGTAGAGCATTTGACTGCAGATCAAGAGGTCCCTGGTTCAACTCCGGGTGCCCCCTCTTTTTTGGAGGGATTTGCTTGAGTCCCTTTTTGCTGGACATTATTTATGACAGCAGTTAACATAAAATAAATAATTATAATATAATAAAATATAATATAATTTTATTTATATTCTGCTCTATCTTCCCGGAGGGACTCAGGCTGGATTCCAAACATAAAAGGCAAACATTCGATGCCCGAATACAACAATAATACATCCATACTAACAAAATTTAAAAACCCAACATATAAACACGAATTATGACTTAACAACTAAAATTAAATAAAAAACGCAGCCTGATATAGCATACATAAGACAAAACATCAAACATTGAACAGAAGCAACAATTTCTCAGTTCCTTGGGCAAATAGATTGATCATTGATCAAGATATCTGTTGAGTTGGTTGGGCAAGCAGGGAACGGATACGGATAGTAGATATTAATTACTTACTTACTTAGGCGATCCCTCGTAGTCCAAGGATGATGGTCCTCCAAGTTCGGTGTCTTGGGGGTGGGTTCGTAGGTGGCTGTGGAGCCCTATTCTTGACCTGCATCTTCTCCCGCAGTGAGGGCATTGGTTTCCAAGTGGAAGGCGGTCCCGGTTGGGGTTGGCTTGACGTGCCTTCCTCTTGGCACGTTTCTCTCTTTCACCCCCCATTCGTGCCTCTTCAAATTCTGCAGCACTGCTGGTCACTGCTGACCTCCAGCTGGAGCGCTTAATTAGAGGTATTATGGTAGTATTACSGACTCYTCCTCCTCATAATCCAGTGAGCAAAGGTTTGGCTGTTCAAGAAGGCGTTYGAACAAGAAGTGCAATAATAGGTAATGACGACAGGAAAGGAACAACTGAAAATGATACTGGATTGTGGTTTAGACGATGAGACAACGTGGAATGGCTTTTATATTATTGATGATGTTTTTGATGACRATGTTTTTGGTTAATGCTATTGACTATTTTAGATTGTGTCTTGAATTTGAACCTGTTTCTATGTTGTACACCGCTGTGAGTCGCCCCCGGGCTGAGAACAGCGGTATATAAGCAAAGTAAATAAATAAATAAATAAATAAATATGTCTTCAGCTGTTTCTTGAAAGTGGGGAGGGAGGGGGCCATTTTTAACACCTTAGGAAGGGAGTTCCAGAGGTGAGGGGGGGGGAGCCATGGATAAGTCCCTTTCTCTCGTTCCCACCAGCTGGGATGGGGGTGGGACCAAGAGGAGGGCTTCCTCCGATGACTGCAGTGTCCAACTTGGTCTATAGAGGGAGATGCAGTTTGTCAAATAGCCTGGACCCAAGCCATTTAGGGCTTCAAAGGTAAGAACCAGCACTTTGTATTTAGCTTGGAAGCAGACCGGCAACCAGTGGAGTAACCTGGCTGCCAATCTCTGGGCCATTTGAATCTTCCGAACTATCTGAAGATAGTTTGGAAGCTTCAAATGGTCCAAAGAAATATGTAAAATAATTGAAGACTTATATGGACTGGGTCTCCCTTACCTGAAATGCTTGGAATGAAAGTGTCTTGGATTTTGGATATTTTTGAGATTCTGTTTGTATATAATGCGATATCTTGGAGATGGGTTCCAGTAAAACGTGAAATTCATTTATGTTTCATATGTACCATGTTATCATAGGTTATCACTCACGACCAAGTATGATTGCCTTCCAATGTACCAAATACACATAGCTTGAAAGCAGTTCTATGTACAACTTGCAATACTGTTTTATAATTCTCTATATGAATAAATGTTTGTATACATTAAACATTCAGAAAGCAAAAGTGTCACTATCTTAGCCATCCATGTGGACTGTTTTGGATTTTGGAGTATTTCATCTTTCAAGATTTATTTATTTATTTATCATGTTAGAAGTGAATCGAGGATACAGTTGTAATGTATGTAAGACCACAAGCAGTTTTAAATCTCGGCATTATACTAAATGTCCTTTGACCAGTAGCTGGTCATTTAGAGTGGCTCTTGTGTTGCTATAAGAAGGTCCTCCATTGTGCATGTGGCAGGGCTCAAGCTGCATTGGAACAGTGGTCTGTGGTTTGCTCTCCTCCACACTCCCATGTCGTGGACTCCACTTTGTGGTCCCATTTCTTAAGGTTGGCTCTGCATCTCGTGGTGCCAGAGTGCAGTCTGTTCAGTGCCTTCCAAGTTGCCCAGTCTTCTGTGTGCCCAGGGGGGAGTCTCTCATTTGATATCAGCCACTGATTGAAGTTCCGGGTTTTAGCCTGCCACTTTTGGACTCTCGCTTCCTGAGGTGTTCCTGCCAGTATCTCTGTAGATCTTAGAAAACTATTTATTGATTTAAGGCATTGGCATGCTGGCTGATATCCGAACAGGGCGTGGGCTGGGGATGTCACTGCCTTGGTCCTTTCATTATTAGCTGCTACTTCCCGGCAGATGTCAGGTGGTGAAATACTGGCTAAATAGTATAATTTCTCCAGTGATGTTGGGTGTCGACATCCTGTGATAATGTGGCATGTCTCATTAAGAGCCATATCAACTGTTCTAATGTGGTTAGTTGTATGCCACACTGGTCATGCGTACCCAGTAGCAGAGTAGCAAAGCACAAGGGCAGATGTCTTCACTGTATCTGGTTGTGATCCCAGGTATGATACTCTTTCTAGCACCCACTTTTTGCTTGATAATCAAGCAGTGCTTCTTGTAAGTCAGAGCACGATTTGGAGTAACTCCCAGGTATTTGGGTGTGCTGCAATGCTCCAGTGGGATTCCTTCCCAGGTAATCCTCAGAGCTCGAGATGCTTGTCTGTTCTTAAGGTGAAAAGCACACGTTTGTGTTTTAGATGGATTAGAAATCAGCTGGTTTTCCTTGTAATAGGCAGTAAGAGCACCTAAAGCTTTGGAAAAAATTCTGTTCAACCATTTCCAAGTTTTGTATTTCTTGTTACACTCGTGTGACACACCTACACAATGCAGTTGATACAGTGATGTGTCACGGCACAGTTTGGAAGGCTGTTCTGTAGAGAGACCGAAGGACTTATGGATATAAAGGACCTGATGTCTTTATTTGGATCCCCCCCCCCCCCCCCAAAAAAAAAAAATAGACACTATACAGCACATTTCCAGCCTTCTACTCTTGCCTTGCAAAGTAACAAGCAGGGATCTCGTAGTTGTCGCTTAAAGGTAGAAACAAGTACTTGCCATACACAGTTTTGGATTTTGGAACATGTGGGATTTCTAGAAAAGGCAGGCTCAACCCATCCTGTCACCCTAAATAAGCATTATATACCCATTTCCTCTTAATTCACCTGGGCATATGTTCAGCTTGTTCATTTTTAGTGAACCACCAATGTTAAATGTTTTGAAATTCTGAGAAGCAGTGGGAAGGCTTTTTAAATATCTTGGTGTGTTGTATAAATCTTCGCATCCTCTTCTTTTATGTAGAGTTCCTTGATTTTGTTCCAGTTTTCAAAAATATTGAGTGTTATGAACAAAATAGCTATGAGGACAGTCAACCAGATTTCACGCAACAATACCCAGCCTGTGTCTGCTGGTCAATGGACCTCTGTTTTGCTTTAATAGGCCTTTTAAAGGTCTTGGTGTTTGACGTTACAAAAATTGAATTGAACTTGGTAGGAAATATTGCTGTGCAAATCTAAAGAGCATGATGTAGATTAAAATATTTGAAAACAAACATGTGACCCTTAGTAGATCATAACCACTTAGGAATAAATCTGGCAAAACGCCAGTGAGGCAAAAAAAATGAAAGAGTCAAGAAAAGGTTTTTAAAATATCAATTAATATTATTGATTAATGATGGTGCTGGAGTTATTATTTATTTACCATATTTATATACCATCCCTCTCAGCCCGAAGGCGACTTCAGGCGGTTTACAGTAGGCAGTCAATGCTCCCAAACAACATAAAATACAGTTTAAAAATTAGATATAATATAAACCATATAAAAGCAATAAAACAATAAAAAACATAAAACACTAGTCCTCAGTGTCTCATCACTAAAACCATTTTTCCGTCGCATCGTCCAATCATTCTGTGGATCTCAATTAGTCTGTTACACTGCGTCTGCAAGTGCCTGCTCAAACAGCCAGGTTTTGACTCTCTTTCAAGATGTTAGGAGGGAGGAGGCTAATCTAATATCCCTAGAGAGGGTGTTCCATAACTGAGGGGCCACCGCTGAGAAGGCCCTGTCTCTCGTTCCCACCAATCGCATCTGTGAAGGGGGCGGGACCAAGAGCAGGGCCTCTCCAGACGATCTTAAGCGCCTACTAGATGGTTCATAGGGAGATATGCGTTTGGACAGATAAACTGGGCTGGAACCGTTTAGGGCTTTAAAGGCTAAAGCCAGCACTTTGAATTGTGCCCAGTAGCAAAATGGCAGCCTGTGGAGCTGGCGCAACAGAGGAGTTGTATGCTCTCTGAGCACCGCTCCTGTTAACAACCTGGCTGGGGCAAAATATTATTATTATTATTATTAATAATAATAATAATAATAATAATAATAGAAACTTATATCTAAATTTGGCTAAGTCACACTTTCCCAAACAACTATTTTCTATATGTCTTAGTTTCTAGCTTTTGTGACCAGTGTTAAAGAAGACTGAAAAATAGATTTTGAACATGCACATATTGCTTCCTCTCCTGCTGATAGGCAGGTTGGGTTTCTGAAGAAGAAGTGTTGATTTACTGTGGAATTGTTGGTTTATGGGATGTCATCAAGTAGTGGGTACTATAGAGTGTGCACTCAGGGTAGCAGAATGGAGTGAATCCTGAAGCTGAGGCGTTCTGTGTAAAACTTACAATCTGAAATGTCTTCTCCTCCCGTAGGTTTGCAGCAAAACTCATTGCAGGCATGTTGGATTTCAAGGCAAAGATTGACCAGTAAGTATTGTGAACTGGGGAGGTTGGATGACACAGTAGTGCTGCATAGATACACATCTAGTCAAAATAGGGTGCTGTAAGCAAAGCCTTGTATCCCAAAGGAAATTTGGCAGTGATACACCTGATACAAATACACATATAACACCTTTTTTTCTCCTCATGCTAGCCAGACTCTGCTGGTTGAATATTCCCGCGGCTACCCTCTCTGCATGGACCAGTATTCTCGGCTCTTTGCCTCGTGCCGACTTCCAGGGCCAAAACATGATTCAGTTTTGCTGCCTCCCCCGGGACGGAGACCACCAACATACATTACTGTAGTCCGCAACTTCCAGGTAATCATCATAGGTGATCCCTCATGGCCAAGTATGATTGTCTTCCAAGGGTAGAGTCTTGGCAGTGGGTCCATAAGTGACTGTAGAGACCTATTCTGGATCTGCAGGGTCTTCCACAGTGAGGATACTGGTTTCCAGATGGAAGGTAGTCCCAACAAGGGTTTGCTTGATGTGGCTTCCTCTCAGCATGCTTCTCTCTTTCACCCTCTGTTCTTGCCTCTTCAAAATCCATAGAACTGTTGGTAACAGCTAACCTCCAGTTCCAGCACCCAAGGGCCAGGGCTTCTCAATTCTCTGTGATTATTTTACATTTTTATGTTAGTTCTGCATTTCTTTTGCTGTCCCCCAACATTCCATTCTCTGTACTTTTTTAATAAATAATTTTATTTTAATATTACGATACAACTACAATACACATATACAAACATTATTATTATTATTATTAAACTTTATTTATACTCCGCCACCATCTCCACTCAGGGACTTGGGGTGGCTAACATGAGGTCAAGCCCCACGAATACAAAAAACAAATGAAATTCATACAGCAAAATAATAGTTAGAATTAAAATAAAATAAACTATACCACAAGAAAAACAATAAAATACAAACAGTAAAGGAAAATTAACACAGTGAGATATAACACCAGGTATGAAGTGAAATAACAATTACGGACAAGGAATAAATCAGAATGGGTTAGGCCAGATGCACAGATAAAAACAAAAGAAATAGAGCGGGATAGGAAACCGGAACGATTTATCTGTTGGAAGGTACAGGATGGACAAGCTATGGGGCTTAATTACCTGCTAAGGATAAGGAGAAGTGCATTAAGAGGACGAGTGTATGCTGGGAAAGACATAGTATGGTACACATACATAGACAACCCACCACCTGTTTTGCAGTTACCCCTTGTCTCACCTCCAGTGCACCTACCACCTTGGCTTGGCTTCCATCACTAATCCTCGTAGAACTTAGATCTGACTAGCTGTACTCACCACGTGTTGCTGTAGTCAACCTTATCTCCCTTCTTTCTGTCCTTCCCTCCCTCTTTCCTTCCTTTCCTTTTTTCTTTCATTCTCTCCTTCCTTCCTTCCTTCCTTCCTTCCTTCCTTCCTTCCTTCCTTCCTTCTCTACCTCTTTCCTTCATTCTCTTCCCTTTTTCTTTCTCTCCTTTCTTCCTTCTCTACTTTTTCGTGGACTGTAACTCCCAGCAGTCCTCCCGATTGATCTACTTACCTACTACCTATCTCTATCTAATCTATGTATCTTATCTATCTGGAGGACTGCTGTAAGTTACAGTCCGGGAATAGGAAATTGGAAATATGCAGGGATTGGGATGTTCTCAAAGAAATCCAAGGAGAAGCAAGCTTGAACCTTGGAATCACAGTAGAGTCTCGCTTATCCGACATAAACGGGCTAGCAGAATGTTGGATAATATGGAGTCTACTGTTTCCCATCCAACTTTATGCTAGACACAGAATACTAACAACAAGGACTCAAAGGGTTAAGGCAAGGCAACCCCTCAGAGCTAGAGCGGACCAGCAGGAAGAGCCCGGATACAGAAGAGTAGCATGGAAATCACAGGGAAGGAGGGAGGACACTTCCAGTTCCGGTCCTGCTTCTTTTCCTCCTTTCCTTCCTTCCTTCCTTCCTTCCTTCCTTCCTCCTCCTCCTCTCCTCCTTGTCTTGTCTTTTTCACGTATTGGGAATGGAGAGAGAATTGGGGAAATGCTGGAGGAAAACGGGGGTATCGGATGAGAGCATTGGATAAGACAGAATGTTGGATAAGCGAAGGTCGGATAAGCGAGACTCTACTGTAGAAGGATGGGTTCCATAGCTGTAGTTAACGTTCTGTGTACAGTCTATCCTCTATATCTGTGAATTCAGTCATCTACAATTTGAAAATAGTTTTTTTAATTGCAAAACTGATTTTTTCCATTGAGCATCTTCCAATTTTGGTATCCAGAGGGGATCCTGGAACCAAACCCCAGCAGATGCCAAGGGCCCACTATGCTCTATAATAGAAGTATTTAAAAGTGATGGTCTGTGCATTGGTGCAAGCCATTAGCTACTAGTCTGTAGCAAGTTTCCAGGAATGAGAGAAGCAGTTTTGTGAGTTTGGTTTAGCTGTAGTGCATAAAGGAGCAGCAGGCTGTTCCTTAGCAGCAGCATTCATGTGGGATAAGTAGCCTGTAGGTAATTTGAAACCATTACTCATTAAATCTGCGAAAAAGAACTATGTGGCAAAACCAGTATCCTTAAGTAGGCTTCTCTGTCAAGCATCCCTGTGTCGTGGGGGTATAGCTCAGCGGTAGAGCATTTGACTGCAGATCAAGAGGTCCCTGGTTCAACTCCGGGTGCCCCCTCTTTTTGGAAGAATGTTGGATTTGTTGCCACACTTTTCTTGAAGGCTTATGGTGGGTTTCTTGGATGAGGAATTCAGGACATGTAAGACAGATCTGTAGATCAGGAATAGGGTTCTTAACAAGTCAAGTCTCTGCATTCTCTGGAGTTAGGGACATACAGCTCCCGCTAAAGTAAAAAAAACAAACACAAGTAATCAAACTGATATATTGTTATTTTTTAGCTGAAATGACATTTCTGGAGGAATATACAGTTTGTCCAACATGATTCTACTGACAACTTCCACTGGATTATATTGTAGGATCTAAAGATTCCTATAGAAACTCCAGATCATTCAGCATGACTCTGTGATCAATTTCAAGCAGGAGGTGACCACAGAATTGCCCTGGAGGATCTAGAGCAGTGGTTCTCAACCTGGAGGCTGGGACTACTGAGGGGGTTTCAGAGGGGTCACCAAAGACCATTAGAAAACAAAATATTTCTGGTGGTCTTAGGGAGCCCCTTTGGCAGAGAAGGCTGAAGATCTCTCCACCTGTCCTTCTTTCCGTTTTTGGAAACAGACGACAGATCCTCACACCAAAAGCCCCCTTTTGCTCTCTGGATGTAAGTGAACTACAACTCCAAAACTCAAGATAAATGCCCATCAAACCCTTCCAGTCTCTTCTGTTGGTCATGGGAATTCTGTGTGCCAAGAATAGTTCAATTCCATCAGTATTCAAATTTGGGCGTATCGGGTATTTGTGCCAAATTTGGTCCAGTGAATGAAAATACATCCTGCATATCAGATATTTACATTATGATTTATAACGGTAGCAAAATTATAGTTATGAAGTAGCAATGAAAACAGTGTTATAGTTGGGGGTCACCACAACACGAGGAACTGTATTAAGGGGTCACAGCATTGGGAAGGTTGAGAAACACTGACCTAGAGACTGAGAGACAGTATTGAATCAAATCTTTGAATAATCAGATTTGCAGGTGTGAAGGGACAACTCTATTTTGGAAAATGTTCTGTTATGCCTAAATAGCCTAAAGGCACCAGATCCAATCTGAACTTGGAAACGGTCTGGCTTGTTTAGTACTTGGATGGGAGACCACCAATGAATATCGTGTGATGTAGACTATATTTCAGAAGAAGGAACTGGCAAAACTGCCTAAGAAATCCTATTAAACTCATGGGGTCATCATAATGTCAAGAGATGTCTTGTAGGCACACACATACCCCTCTCATAATGCCATATGGTAGAACTAGTATCCATAAATGATTAGCTGATACTAGTTCTTGTTTTTGGAGCAGATCAATAAGTACCTGGTTCAACTCCAGTTGCCTCTCTTTTTAGAAGAATGTAGTTGGATGTTCAGTCCTATTTTGCTTGAAGACTCGTGGTAGGTAACCTACAGGAGGGCCTCATGAAAAATGACGTCAGAATAAACCTTTTCACTCCATACGCATGGGATGTACCCAACATTCTTAACTAATTATGGTGGAAAGATTTCCCTGTGGGAATAGTGTTGGAAGCATTACTCATAAATATATGGGAGAGAACCAAGAGGCAAAACCAGTGTGCATAATTAGACTTTGGGTGATCCTGGTGTATGTGCTGGGGGTATAGCTCAGCGGTAGAGCATTTGACTGCAGATCAAGAGGTCCCTGGTTCAACTCCGGGTGCCCCCTCTTTTTAAACAGGAGATTGGTTGGCCTTTTTAGTCCCACTTTTGACCTCTCATGTCCATGTTTAGACCCTGGATCTCTCAATAACAAATCCAGAATAGCAAGGCTAGAAGTCCTTCTTCCTGCCTGAGACTTTGGAAGATTACTGCCTTTAAGAGTAGGCAGTACTTAGATGGAAAAAGTGGTATGATCTGGAACAAGGCAGCTTCATCTATTTGTTGGTTTTTACAGGATTTGACAGTTGTACTCCCCAAAACTAAATTTTACTACACTACCTCTAGAAGGATATGATCTCTGAAGTCTCTTTGGTTAGAATCATAGCCTCCATTCATGCCTCTTCAAATTCTGCAGCACTGCTGGTCACAGCTGTCCTCCAGCTGGAGCGCTCACAGGCCAGGGCTTCCCAGTTCTCAGTGTCTATACCAGAGTTTTTAAGGTTGGCTTTGAGCCATCTTTAAATCTCTTTTCCTGCCTACCAACATTCTGTTTTCCATTATTGAGTTCCTAGTAGAGCAACTGCTTTGGGAGACGGTGGTCAGGCATCCGGACAATGTGGCCGGTCCAGCGGAGTTGATGGCGGAGAACCATCGCTTCAGTGCTGGTGGTCTTTGCTTCTTCCAGCACACTGACATTTGTCTGCTTGTCTTCCCAAGATATTTGCAGGATTTTCCAGAGGCAGCGCTGATGGAATCGTTCCAGGAGTACATAGAAGTACCAGGAGTAGGCAGTACTTAGTTGGAAAAAAGTGGTATGATCTGGAACAAGGCAGCTTCATCTATTTGTTGGTTCTTGCAGGATATAACAGTGGTCCTCTCCAAAACTAAATTTTACCATGCTACCTCTAGA